CAATGTTGGCGACTCAGGGTAGCCAAAGAGAAGCTGAGAGATGCCGCTTTTGAGTGAAAATATAGAGATGGCCAAGGTCTGCGACGAGACCAGCCCTGCTTGTGAAACTGGGAGAGGGGTGGGGAATTCATGCTGTTGCCCCTCAGAGGGGCAACATGTCCAGCCACACACAGGTTGCTCACTCTGTGAGCACTTCACCCTTCACAGGACAAAATTAGTTTCAGCGTAATCAAGTGATAATTACAAATGACGGTAATTTTTCTTGTTTTTTCTTTAAAGCAATTAGCAATTAGGGAGAAGAGAACATTTCTATTTAGTTCTTTTTTCTATATTTCAGGCATAGGCTGATGTTTGCACTTAAACACGATCCCTGGTTTGGGCTCAGTTTCCCAATTTTAAACATTAAATCTGCAATAATGCACAAGTGGTCCCATGGGCCACAGAATCAGCGCTGATCTAACAGCTCCCCCGACCCGGGTGAAGTTTATACATGTAAATGAGATCATTTGAAATCTGCTGATGCATGCAAACTCGTGGAGTCACAGGGATTCTTTTGTGCCCCCACGAGGAGTTCTGGACCTTCATATCCATCTCAAGAAAGCCTTGTAGCCATTACCCATGCAGTCAGGATGGCGAGCTCTCTACAGAGCAAGCCTGCAGGGCTGTGTGACAAGGTCATCAGGGATGCTCTGTTCTTCCCGTGGGCAGGAGGTAGGTTCCATGACCTTAGATGCACCTTGGAGAGTATCTCCAAGCCATGGGATGAGTGTTCTTCCCAACCTCACTGACATCTAAGGGATGACAACATAAATTCCTTGCCCCTTCCTTACGGTTTCACATCAGAGCCAGGACAGTCAGAGCTACACAGAGAAACCCTGCCTTGAAACAACCCATCCTCCAAAAAAGGATTTATTTTATTTATGTGTACACGTGTGTCTCTGTGAGTGAGTGCCATGTGTGAGAGTGTTCATGGAGGTCAGAGGGCGGCACTGGATCCCCTGGAGCTGGAGCTACAGGTGATCGAGCTGACCAATATGTGTGTTGGGAACTGAACTCAGGTCCTCTGGAAGAGCAGTAAGTGCTCTCACCCTCTGACCCTCTCCAGCACTGCTCCCCCTCTTTTTTTTTTTTTTTTGACAGAGGCTGACCTTGAACTCACAGAGATCTTGCCTGCCTCTGTACTCCTGAAGTGCTGGGATTAAAGGTGCTAAGATCAGAACTTTTCAAACAGAAACATGCCTGGCCAGACACTGAATGGACAATGAGAATCTTGTGATTTGTGGTTCCTGTGGCCCTTAACGTTTCTCCAGAGAGCCAATGTTCAGTTTTTGCAGTGCTAAAAGTTCGGTATTCACAGCAGCCTTATAGCCGTAACAGCCACAGCAACGCTGCCTCATATATTCCCACGTTCTGGGGAATCCCAGCTCCTCCTTCTCCTTTTTTGAACATTCTTTGACAGTTTCATGCACAAGAACAAGTATCTTGCTCATATCCACCCCAAATTTACTCTTCCACTTCCCCTGGGTCCCCAATGCTTTCCCTTGTCACCTTCTTGTCCTCTCTTGTCTTTTTGCCTGCATATTCATGGGTGTGGAAACATCCACCCAAACACAGTTACATCCCCAAAGATAAATGACTCCCCTCCCCCCAGCTGCCACCAACTGCCTAGAGCCCTTCCCTATCCATGGTGAAATGTTGACTGTCTTGATCTTGTTCTGGTAGCTGCCGTGGGTTCATGGGAGCAGCGACCATGTCACATCCAGAGGACAGCGTCTCACAGCGCTCCTCTCCACCTTCTAGCTCTTATCTCAGCAGAAAGGGTAGTAGAAGGTGGAGGCAGAGCCCAGAGCTGGAAGAAACTAGAAAAGCAGGAAGCTGATTCCCTCCAGAGCCCCAACAGCCCCAGCCAGCAAACGCCTTTCCATTAGCTCCAAGAGATGCATTGTAGACTTCTGGCCTCCAGAGCTTCAGGACAACACCCAGACTGTGGCTTTCTGTTCCGGCAGCCACAGGACACTCCTGCAGCAAGCTGAGCTGAGTGGAATGGGGGGATCTTCAAGTCTCTCTCTCTGGAACTTCACCATTCAGCGTGTACTCAGGCCCAGCCACGCTGAAGTCACCCCCTGTGGCGAGGACTGAAGCCTCTCACAGTCCACCGAGCCCACTGAACCCTTAGCATATAGGAATTCAGAATCTCTCTAGGAGCAGGACAGTGAGGGGTATAAGAGCTTGCTTTGTCCTCCATGGCACTGGGCTGTGACCCACAAGAGGAGGTCTCAGGCTGGTACCTTGGCATTATTCCGGCCTGTGTCCCAGCTTGGTCTTCGTCCGCATGCAGGATCTGTTGAGGGGACAGAGCAGAATATTGTTCTCGATGTTCAGTGTTGTGGGTGGGGACTGAAAATTCCTAGCCCTTTTGTCTTCATCCAACATTTTTTTTTCTTCAAGCCAGGGTTTCTCTGTGTAGCTCTGGCTGTCCTGGAACTGGCTCTGTAGACCAGGCTGACCTGGAACTCAGAGATCTGCCTACCTCTGCCTTAAAGGCTTGTGCCACCACATCCAGCCCTTAACACAGTATTTAAAGAAGTCAAAATGACTTTAAAAAAATCTGTGATAAAAAGTATGAAGCTTTACTTTTTTTTTTGTGATACTGGTGATGTCATTCATGCTAGGTAGGTACTTTACTACTACAGTACCCCCCAAACCCCTATCTATCTATCTATCTATCTATCTACCTATCTATCTATCTATTTATTATTTATAGACAGGGCCATCAAGTAGCCCATGCTGGCCTTGAACTTGCTATGAGGTCAAGAATGGCCTTGAACACCCAACCTTCCTGCCTCTGCCTCCTAAGTGCTAGGACTACAGGCGTGTGCCGCTGCACCTGGCTTCTGTGGTGTTAGGGGTCAAACCGAGGGCTTTGCGGAGGATAGGCAAACTACCAACTGACCTCCCTCCCCAGGCCCTCCTTCCTTCCTTTTCTTTTGAGGCAGTTCACAAAGCTGCTCAGTGTGACCTTGAGTTCACTCTAGCCAAGGTAGGCCTTGAACTTGAGAGCCTCCTGACTCAGCTCCTGGAGCAGCTACCAGGCCCTAAAGGCTAGACTTGATTTTTTTTTTTTGCTTGGTTTAAAAAATTATTATTATCATCAAGTGTGTATGTATATGTGTGTGTGTGTGTGTGTGTGTGTGTGTGCGCGCGCGCACGCATATGTGTGGCCACCTTATGTAGAGGTTGTGAAATCTATTTTCTCTTTCTAGCCTTATGTGGATTGGATTGTCAGGCTGATGTTGCAAGCTCCTTTACCTGCTCACCCATTCTGCCGGACCCCAAATGCCTAGCTGTAAATGAACGCTACTGTCTATCTTTTCTCAAGCTCTAGGGCAGCTCCTCGTAGCCCTGATCATGGACCTGGTTTGACTGAAGCTCTCCATGGAGGACATAGCCAGTACTCTTCCATTCGGTTAACCCCTCTCAACTTATCAACTCAGGGCCTCAACATAGTAAGGTACACCTACTTACCCCTTGCCACTGCCCAGATGTTGACCCCAGTTCAATACGCGGTCTGAGCCCTCTGCACTGGGTACCCTTCCCTTCATCCAAGTGGAGTGATGTGCTCATGCAGTTCAGCCCTTCTAAGTTCCATTTTTTTGGTTTGAAAAGTGGATCGATGTCGGAGACATGGAGGTCCTTGTGATCACAGATAAGCCCTAAGGGAACCTGGAGTGTTAGCACACAGGGTTGTTCCTTCAAGGGAGGGGATGTGATACCCGTTATCCTCCCAGAAGGCTGGGATCAGATGTGCATTCTAGCCTGGTGACCTTGCACTGTCTGTGTAGCCAGAGACCACACTGGACCCTCCCTTATGGTAAGCTTGCTTTTCCCAGTCATCTATAGAACCTATCACCTTCCATAAGAAATAGTTCTATAGATCGACTGAGAAAAACTTTACAAACTTAACCAAGAATTTCGATGTAGTCACGTCTGATCTTTATTTAGCTTGTTTTGTTCCTCAAAGAGATTATGTATGCCTTATTTGTACACATGGGATCGAATTCATTATCACCAGAAAAGTTTTCATCAAACTATGCTGTGCTTAAATACGCCTAAAATAAACCACTCTGGGTCGGACTCCTGAAGTTTGCACTAACATCAGCTACTTAGTAATGTTGAACTGAACTGCTTTCCTTCCTCCCAAGGATCATGACTCTGCTGGCCATGGTGGTCAAAGTGACCTCCACAGGGTACTACTGGGACCTGCCTCCTAGTGTGGCCTGAAGAACTACTAAGTTGTGGGCAACAAGTGTTGTGGAGGGTGGAGGGCAGACTGGGAGGTTCCATCGCTTCCTGCAGCAGGTATCACATGCATCTTATTTAGTACTTGTTGCTGGGACTCCAGGAAATCACTCCTCTGGGATCACAAGCCTTCAGGGCAAAGGTGGTTCTCTGCCTCTGTTCTAGGACCTTTTATCACTCACCGGTGCCAAACACACACCTGGAGTTCAGAGATGTCTTACACCTGGTGATACCTGAATGAGGGTCCCAGGCTGAGGAGCAGAATCCTTTCCAGCCTTGCCCATAAGACCCTGGAAGACCTGTAAGTGATTTGCATAAGCCCTGGACCAGGCAGAAGCAGCTGGTTTTAATACCCATGGTGAAATGATGTTGGGAAGACTTGAGCCTTTGCTGAGGATGGTGATCACAGGGTGGGCTGCACAGGGTGAGTGGCACAGGGTGGGCAGCACAGAGGAAAGCTCAGAATCATACCTAGGCAGGCTGTTGGAAGCATACAGATGCCCTTGGAAGAGCTGGAACTGGAACAGGATTTGGCCAGTTTCTTCATTGTTTCCTGTCTTCCTTGAAATTTTTGTGAGCTGTGTAATTTTTGCTACGAGTAAGAAAAAGGCTTTGAACAACATGCTTTCACTGGAGGCTGGGAGATCTGGGGGAAGGCTTGCTGAGTTCTGTGCCTCAGTTTCCCCACGTGTGAAACTGGGTTCTGAATTCTTCCTCCAAGGGAGATCAGGAGGTTCCCTTAGGACAATGGTACTGCCTTTGTACAGGCCTGGAGGATAAGGCTCTCCTCAGACCTCCTTGGGGACATCTGGACTGAGAGCCGGTCTGTCCCTGCTGCTCAGTGTGTGAGGCTGGGGCTGTGGTGGCGGGTGAGCATCCCAGCTGCTGACAGTGCAGCCTCCCTTCTGAGCTGAGCATAGGCATTTTGGGAAATCCCTTAATACCTCTATTCTGTGCAGGCGTATATAGGGAGGGCCAGAACGCTAGCTCTCCACTGCACTGCCCAGAGGCCCCTGCCTGACTCACTGCCAGCCTTCGGTCCCTGCGTTGCCAAGAAGAACATGGACGTCACCATCCAGCACCCTTGGTTCAAGCGCGCCCTGGGGCCCTTCTACCCCAGCCGACTCTTCGACCAGTTTTTCGGCGAGGGCCTTTTTGAATATGACCTGCTTCCTTTCCTGTCTTCTACCATCAGTCCCTACTACCGCCAGTCCCTCTTCCGCACGGTGCTGGACTCTGGAATCTCCGAGGTAAGATGCAGCCGCGTTGACTCCTTGCTGGTCAGAGGGGTCTCGGCCTTGTCTGGAGGACAGCTAGGGAGCTACTCCTGTCCTGTGCTCTCCTCTAGCAACGTCCCTGACTCTCCTAGCCTCATACCCTGCAGAGGCTGGGTGGGAGCTCACATGCTTAGCTGCCCAAAACTCCCCCATCACTGGGAAAGGGGTCGGAGGAGGAGGAGACCTCCCGAGCCCGACCGCTGTCTTTTCCTCCCATCAGCTCATGACCCATATGTGGTTTGTAATGCACCAACCACATGCTGGAAACCCCAAGAACAACCCCATCAAGGCAAGTGCCATGGCAGAGGCAAGCGTCCTGGGCTGGCCGCTCGCTGTACTTTCTCTTTTTGGTGTGGGGGTGGGATGTACTGCCATGAACCACGGAGAGGAGGGGCTTCCGTACAGCAGGGCAGGAGCCTTCTGTAGCCGGCAAAGCTGCTTCCCTGATGGCCAAAGAAAGGCCAAAAGGCTATATCCCTTCCTACCCAAGTGATCCACAGTGCTGGAAGAGTTAAGCCTCCCTTTGCTTTAAAAGAAGGCTCCCAGAGCAGATCCAGCCACAGCTCTAGGACACGAACTGCCCAAATGCAGGCTCTCTCTAGTCAGCCTAGAGGGAGGAGAGTACAAAAGGCTTGTTCTGGCAGACAGTGGTGCTGTGAAGTTGTTGGTAGCAACGAGGTAGGCTGTCAAGGACTTTAGCCTACCAGCTAGCCAGTTCCTATCTAGCCAAACCCACCAGTCCATGATCAACCATAACCAATCACCTACTTAAAAACTTAATCAACCAGCTACTTCACATGTTAAGTCCCACCCCCCCTCATTACCAGCTTAACTTAATCAACAAGCGACTTAACATGCTAAGACCCACCCAACTCATAACTAGCCACTAGGCCATAACCAAACAACTGGTCAGCCTGTAACTAGCCATTTGATGATGATCAGCCAGCCAGCTAGCTCATAACCAATAACTTGGACTCTAATCAGCCAAGCCACTCATTTACCAACCAACCATCCTACTATAACTAGTTCTCCAACCTATAACCAATTAGCCAGCCACCCTGTAATCAGTTGGCTGACCCAGCATTGCCCAATCTTTGGGTCTGGAGTCAGGGGTGATCCTGCCTGTAGGGCCAGGTGAACAGACCCAGCTCCAGGCTTCCTTGGCCTGTGGAAGTAGAGGTGTGACAAGACTGACTGTCGGTTCTGATGGCTGGGCACTTCCCTACCTGGTTTCATCCACCCAGCAGAGGTCACACAGTTGTTTGTTTGTCCTTTGTCCCTGGAGCTGGTGGCCCTTTGGGGAGCTCCACACATGGGTTTGGGTTTCAGGTCCGATCTGACCGGGATAAGTTTGTCATCTTCTTGGACGTGAAGCACTTCTCTCCTGAGGACCTCACTGTGAAGGTACTGGAGGACTTCGTGGAGATCCATGGCAAGCACAATGAGAGGCAGGTGAGTTTGGGTGGTATCCCCGTTTGTGTGGATACCCCGTTATGTGTCCTGTACCCCTAGGGAGACCATGCGAGACTGAACTGGCTCAGCCACTCCTGCTTGGGGGGGGGCACATCTTCCTGTGCTAGACTGACCCCTTCCAGGACCACGGAGGTCACTGTCCTCAACCCTGGCAGGGCCAGGCAGCGTGAGTGGGACTCAGGGACGCAGGATGAGGACCCTTGTACTGGGCACAACTCCAGCTGTCCCCCTGGATCTCCTGGATGACAGGGGATTAGAAAGGACCTCGGGAAAGGAGAGCGCTGAAGGGGGTGCCCTCTGAGCCATACTACACATGTAACCCTGACTAGGGAAAGAGAATCCCAAGGACAGAAGAACTGGCATTTATACGCACCAAAAGTTGCCCAGCCCCTGTGGTATCGCAGTTAGTGAGTCCCTTGCCAGGCGGGGAAAGCTTCTTTCCCAGGAGTCACACACCCCGACCCATGGTTCCGGATCATGTGGCGATCCCTCAGGTCTTTGGATTGAGGGAGCCCCAGGCACTGGACCTGCCTAGAAGTAGTGCCTTCTGACTGAGCTGGGATTATGCAGGAAGCTCAATGAGGCTGGCTAGGTGTGTCACGCCCATGTGGGCCAGATGGCTGAGCGGGCTAGACTCAAGGTTCTCGGCCCCACTCTTAGTTCCTCTTGGATGGGCTTTTCTGTCCACCTTAGAAGGGGGTGGGGGGAGCCAAGCTCCATATGCGCTGAAGCCTGGACAAGGCTTCCCTGACCCTCGGCCAGGCTTCAGAGGACTCCTACCTCTTGGCCTTTGCCCCTAAAGATGGAGGAAACTGGGCCCAGGGAGCTGAGTCTGGAGGCCCAGAATTCTGGAGGAAGTGGGTTTTCTGCCTGGCTGAAGCTTTCTGTTGGGTGGGATTGCTGATGCCCTGGTCTTGGGGAGTTCCTGTGGGTCCAAGGGGAGGGGAAGCAGGGAAGAGTACCGAACCAGGGACAGTATAGTTCACTGGAGTTAGGACAGAATCTGCGACAGCCAGTTCCACAGCACAGGCCCTGAGCAGGCCCACTCTCTGTGCTTGGCCTTTGCCGGAGGTCCCTTTAGGAGGCTTGCTATGATTCCAGGATTTAAGGAGTCTGGTTGCAGCTCTGTAAATCTCATGGTGAAGTGGCTAGGCACTGGTGGTCTGGTCCTAAAGCCCACCCCCGTGAGACCATCTGGACCCTGGCCACCTTGTGTGGTCTGAGAGGTTCCTTTGCCAGTGTGGGACGGTGGCTATTGCTGCCCCATCACCCCTGACCATGCTCCTCCCTGGCGGTCCCCAGGATGACCATGGCTACATCTCCCGCGAGTTCCACCGTCGCTACCGTCTGCCTTCCAATGTGGACCAGTCCGCCCTCTCCTGCTCCCTGTCTGCGGATGGCATGCTGACCTTCTCTGGCCCCAAGGTCCAGTCCGGCTTGGATGCTGGTCACAGTGAGAGGGCCATTCCTGTGTCGCGGGAGGAGAAGCCCAGCTCGGCCCCCTCGTCCTAAGCAGGCCTTGCCTTGGTTTGTCCCCTGAGGCCCCTGACCCAGGGGCCACAGCAGAGTCTGCCTTCCCACCTTCCTTTCTTTCTCTTTGTTCCCTTTCCATTTCCTCAGAGGGTTGAGGGTTTGAGAGAGTGCCTTCGAGAGCTTGGGGTCTTGGCCTGAGGTGCTGCGGGTTCAGGGTGACCCAGGCTCAACACCAGCCGGTTGGAGGGAATGATGGCATTGAACTCTTGAGATGTGACCTGTCCTCCTGGAATGTGGCGTCTGAGCTCTGCTCCAAAGGCAGAGTGGGTGGTGGCTAACCAACTCTGAGAGCCCTCTGCCGAGCCCCTGGATGTGCTGGGCTCCGACCGCCGACTTCTCTCAAGCCCTCTTCCTGAGACTTTCTCTATGTAGTATTGCTCTTGGGGACCCTGGTCACCCATGAGAATGGAGCCCCTGGCAGACAATAAAGAGCAGGTGACAGAAGCAACTTGCAGTCTGGTGTCGTGCTGTTCCCCATTGGGGTGGGTGGGGAGCACCTGGAAGGATGTAATAGGCATCTCCTGCCTGCTCCGAGAGGGTTTCCGGCATTCTACCCTGTCTCTTAAGTCCACGGGCCCCTCCGCAGCCAGCTCTGCAGTACTGTGTCCTAACCCATGCTGGAGGTGTCAGGTGCCCTCTCCCCTTCCCTCACCAGAGCAGACACAGGACCTTGAAGTTCATGTCTACCCAGAGCGGCCTGTTGCTCCCTGTTCAGATCCCAGGGGTGAGGAGGCCTTGTCTGAAGGATCACAGCCTTCCACTAGGGGTGAGGCAGCGGGCAGCAGGTTCTTAGGAGTGGTACTATGGTTATACAGACCTGGCCAGTGCAGCCATGCCCTGCAGATGGCCCAGTACTCGGGAGGTACAATACACACATTGCCCATCACATGCATGACACACACCGCAGAGGACACCGCACATCATGCACATGTACGCATATACACATGCCACTCATCCCAAACATACAACATACCACATACACTATGCAGCACACATACAGTGCACTCATGGTACCTGTCACACATACAGAACCCACCAAACACAGCACGTACCCCACACACTGCACACTGAACACACATGCCCCACAGCACACATCACTCTCACCACAGCACAGATCACTTCCACCACACTGAACTTGTACATAATGGCTTTCTCCTGGGAAAGACCTCAGTCATGCCCACTCCGTACCTTATCACAGGATATCCACAGGCTGTTCCACCATTTAGTCCGCTTGTATAAAGCTGGAGAGTCCCCTGTGGCTGAAATGACTCTCCCAATTTGGGGTTGGTACTGGGAAGTCTTACCCTGAGACCCTCAATCCTTGGCCCGCCTTCAGCTGGACTACCTGGGGCATCCCTTAAGGTCATGAGGGTGGAGTCTTGTATGGTAGGGCTGCAGGCAGGGGGCTGAGCTGTCCTTGGATGTCCAAGGCCTTACATCCCTCATAGTGGTTGGTTGGTTGTGTGGGCTGTATTGTGACCACCCAAGATGACCTGGTCCCTTAGAATGAAGATGTCTTTGGGGACAGGATCTTTATGGAGGTGATTAGGGTGAAATGAGGTCCCCAGGGTGGCCCTGACCCAACCTGATTGTGTCATTGCAAGAAGAAGAGGAGCACAGGACTTCCCTCCCTCCTTTTCTCCCTCCTTCTCTCCATCCCTTCCTCCCTCCCTCCTTCCATCCCTCCCTCCCTCCATCCCTCTCTCCTTTTTTCCCTCCTTCTCTCCCTCCCTCCCTCCCTCCCTCCCTCCCTCCCTCCCTCCCTCCCTCCCTCTATTCCTTCCCCATGCCGCTTGCTCACTCTCTGCACCCATACCTCTTAATCTTGGGGGCCTTAACAGCTGTAGTTGGGGCTGCTTCACCCCTCTGAAATGCTCTGGGATCTTGGAGCAGGGGATTCCCAAGAAACTCCCCTTCTTTCTTTTTTTTTTTTGGTTTTTTTCGAGACAGGGTTTCTCTGTGTAGCTTTGTGCCTTTACTGGAACTCACTCTGTAGACCAGGCTGGCATTGAACTCACAGAGATCCTCCTGGCTCTGCTGGGATTAAAGGTGTGCGCAACCATCGCCCGGTGAAACTCCCCTTCTTAGAATAGGAAAAACCAGTCCTGGGGTCTGGTTGCCGACTCCTTCTGGGGCTGCCTGTATCCTATGTCTCCTCACCTACTCTCCCTGCCCAGGATTCCAAGTGACTTCATTTCACCATAGCTACTATGGGACCAAGGTCACAAGACACCCTGCAGGCGCAGAGCAGATGGTCATCTTAAGCAGCTTTGGGGATCAGTACTGTCATCCTTGTCCAGGAGGGACTCAGATTTAGCCAGGGATACAGTGAGGCCCGAAGGGAGCAACAGCAAGGCCTGGAAGTCTCTAGAACCCACCTGGGCTCAATTCATAGACCCTATGTGCTTGGGAGTTGTGGCAGGTGACCCTGACCTCTTTGGAGTCATGACGAGGTCTTCTGGATGCTGTCCCAGCAGGAGGCTGTGATGACCCAATGTAACATATTGGGTACAGCTGGGTCCACAACTGCACTATGCCCTCTTGGAGTCTGATTAGCAGTCATAGGATTCCTGGCCTTGGGGCTTCTGTCTTTGCTAGTCTCACAGGCTGTGGGAAGAACTCATGAGCCATGAGGCTGCCCACTCTCCTCTCTTCTGCTCAACTCTCTTCCACTCATGTGGGACCAGTCCTGATCATATCACATGAATGCTTGCTCCCTTAGATACTGCCTAGCCTGCTGGGCATGCTCAACCCCACCTCCGATTGTCTTCCTCGGTGGTTTGTGTCTGTGGTCTGTCTCTTGGCCTGGCTTTCAGGGTTCCTGTGCCCTGTCTGCACCTGATTTTCTGACTTGACTCCTTGGTTTCCAGAGTATGCTCAGGTCAGAATGGTTCCCCAGACAGGCTCAGGCAGTCAGTTTGCACTGTCCACTCTGGGACCCCTAGAAGGATGAGTTAGGCAATGCCTCCCAGACAGAACCTCAGAACCGTCCACAGCGCTTTTAAAATACATCCCCAGCCTGCCCTTAGCCTCCTCATCAGAGTCTGGAGGGCAGAACCCAGGGCTTTGCCTGCTCTATAAGTCCTTGCCCAAGGTCAGGCAAGCGGAGGAGATTCTGGAATACCAGAGGGGAATTCTCTAGTAGGGGAGCTTGAGAGAGGAATCTCCCTGGATGCCGCCTTGCTGGTGGTACCTCTCTGTAGTGGCACCTGTTCCCCCTCCACTCGGACACCTGAATGTGGCTGTGGGGTTCCAGAGTGAGAACCACTTGTGAGCCTTTCCTGGAATTCCAGTTGCACCTCAAGCAGCAGTTTCGCCGTCACTGCTATGATCACCACCACTGCCCCCTCTGTCATCATCTCCACCATGATCACCACCATAATGACGTCAGTGCCATCATCATTACCACTATGACCGTGTCCACTGTCATCATCATCACCATAATGATGTCATTACCACCATCACCATTGTCATCATCACCACAATGACAATGTCATCACAGTTATTATCACCGTGACGATGAGGTCACCATTATTATCACCGTGATGATGAGGTCACCATTATTATCACCGTGATGATGAGGTCACCTTACTGTCGTCATTATCACAACGATGACAAAATCGCCATCACATCATCACCGCTGTATCACCATCATCATAACTGATTAATTAGAGTTAAATTCCTCACCTGGGTCTGGCCTGACACCCATGTTTGTTAAAGGATTAAATGAATCTCCCTAAGTAAAGCAGGAGATAAGACATTTGCCTTAGGGACTGTAGGACATGGAAATATAAAGCCTGTCACAGTGGGGTTATAACCTTAGCGAAGGTAAAGCATGAGGAAGTAAAATCTGTCACACTGGTGATTAACTCAGGACACCAAATGCGTCCTCAGCTTAAGATTGTGCTGCCTGTTCTAATTGGCTGACCCTTAGCTAAACTCTTTTGGAAATGTGCAGTTCTGCTTTTGTGATTTTGGGGGACGTTTTGTCTGTCCTGATTGGTTGACCTATGGTTGAACCCCATATCTCTGTATTCCTTACATATTGTCTATGTATCCCAGTATTGAGTCTGCCCTCTTCTCCTCTTTTAGTGGGGGGTAAGTAGGCCTGGTGCTGTGACAAAGACTTTTCACTTTTACAACGCCACTGCCTCTAACAGAGTCTTTGATCTAAAATGGGGGAAATAACAATAACCACTATCACCACCACCACCACCACAATGTTACCATCATGTTATCACCATGACAACATCATCGGTGATACTACCACCATCACGACCACTCTAATACTATCATCTTTGTCATCACCCCACCAAGATCATATCATCACCACCATCATTATCACTGTCATCACCACCATGATGATGTTATCATCCCTGCTGTGACAGTGTCATCACCTGTGAATGAAAACAAAGAAGCAAAAGGACATGACTACTCCAAAGGAGTTGAGGTTTTTATTATGGATAGAAGGGAGAGCTCAGGAACGGGCAGAGACATCTGGGGGGGTTTAAAGTGAACACGATGGGAAAACTGAACCAGGTCATGTGAGGAGATGGGGAAGGGGAGAGGAGAGAGCCAGGAGACCAGGAGACCAAGAGACCAAAAAAGAACCGGTAGCCAAAATGGCTGAGGGAAGGGCATTCCAGCCATTGGGTGGGAGAACCTAGCATGGGGGTGAGGCATGCTAGGCAGGATGATTCTGTAACAAGTACTGGCCACTGCTGAGACAGGTGGGTGGATAGTGTCTGCCGTAATATATCAATAGACACCTCAGTTAGCCATTTGTCCCAGGTTTGAGACTTCACAACCTGATGAGATCATTGCCATCACCACTACCACCAAGGCTATCACAACAACATCATCACCCCTAACACCTTCACTTTCTAGCCCCCTTTCTGTTGTTTTAGTAAAACTCTGGCTAAAAGCAACTTAGGATGGGAAAGGGTTTACTTGGTTTACACTTCCAGGTCCATCATCATTGAGAGAAGTCCATCATTGAGAGAAGTCCATCACTGAGAGAAGTCCATCACTGAGAGGAAGAAGTCTATCACTAAGAGAAGTCCATTACTGAGAGAAGTCCATCATTGAGAGAAGTCCATCATTGAGAGAAGTCCATCATTGAGAGAAGTCCATCATTGAGAGAAATCCATCACTGAGAGAAGTCAGGGTAGGAACTCAAGTAGGAACATGAAGCAAAAATCATGGAGCATGTTGTTCACTGACTTGCTTTAAGGCTCACACTTAACTAGCTTTCTTATATAGCCTGGGACCACCTACCCAGGGAATACCACCCACAGTGGGCTGGTCTCCCCACTACATTAATTAACAGCTAAGACCATCTCCCACACACATATCCAC